AAACAACTAAGCTGTTACTATGAGTAGGGGCAACTAAAGCACAAGCTACGGCAACAGAAAAAACTTCAACAGCGACAGCAATAGTTGGCAATCAAAGTTGCGCTGCTGGCCGTCTGAGATGTCGGCGCGATATTGTAAGTGTTGCACGGTCTTAGCGTTTTTCGGCAATCATCACCGCGTCGCAGACACTGTCAGTGCGAGCAACCATCCAGCCAACCAGCCAGGTAACCGTTACAGCAAAATCAGCCAACCAGCTAGCAATAAGGCCTGCAGCCAGTGAACTGAGCCATCTGTGGCGCATGTTGGTGGAAATTTATGTCATCCCTTGTTGTCATGTCGCATCTTACGATGACATTTCGAACATAATTTAAGCCCACGCAACGGAATCGGTAACAACAAATTTCATGGGTGTAGTTAACTGGAGTTAAACCGTTGTTATTGTTGTAGCGGTTGATTTTGTAGCCGTTGCCAGCCGCAAGCGCATACCAAAGACCAAAGCGAGATGCGCTTAGACTACACTTGCAACAATAACAAAACGCACAAACAGCAAACAGCAGGAATTTGCGCTTTGAACGCATATTGCACTCCTCCAGCTTCAGCTCTTCGGCGACGGCTTTTGGACGACGATAACTTTGGCATAAACTGTGTTTTACGCTTTTGAGCCAGCCATCAGCAGCATCCCATGTGTGTGTTTGACATTCTATGCCATTGTGTGTAGGACTTAGCAATTTGCTGACAGCGCCGCGCAGACGAACGCTCATCCCATCCCATCCGCAAATGCGCGCAAAAACTGTCACAATCGTATGAATCTTGGCGACTGTGACAAGAACACGATTACACACCAGCGGAGGTTGTGACTGCCTGCCAGCGACGCTTTAAATAAAACGCCAAAGGGGCTGCGCATTGGAAGCAAATCAAATGTGAAGAGGAAGTAAAGAATGCTTGCAAACAGCGTTGCCATTTTAGCCGTTTTCCGGCTAGATTTAGCCGGTTTTGATAGCAACTAGCCGGAGAAAATTCGATCTAGCCGGCAGCCGATTTGTTAGCCGGTTTGTAAAAAAAAGTTAGCCGTTTTTAGCCGATTTTACTATTTGCCTAATTTTCAGGTGCAAAAAGTAAACAAGTTGTTCGAAAGCAATAATGCAGACCCAATGAAGATTTTTAATGAACTCAATGTTTTACTTTCGCATCTATGCTCCCTAGTGGTTATTAGCGCGGACACATTTGATCCTATATGCTCCCCGTTGGAACCATACCTTGCTCCATTTCCTCAGTTTTATCACAGTTTTGAAGAGTATTTAAAAACAAAAGTAAGCACAAACGCTTTTGACCACGAAGCCGAGAAAATAATTCGAGAAAATGGTCGCTATTTTATTATCACTTTAATAAAGGAATTACGCCAACGCCTCCCTACAAATATTTCCACACTAAAAAAAATTGACTTTTTTCGGTTGGAAACGCATTAAGAGTAATTAAACCAAAAGTATTTGTTCAACTACAGCAACAAAAACACATATATAATGCCGACGAAATAACATCCATAGAGATGCAATGGCAACGGTTAACGTTACTTACCTGGAGTAACTTAGACTCAACTGTAAAATTTTAAGCCGAAGTTTATCAATTTCGAAATGCCCTAGGAGAAAACCCTTTTGCTG